ATTCTGTATCTGTGTTACCAGAGATGAACTAAACACTCGTTTGCTTTTTTTAATGATTATGGAATGGTGCTCCCGCTTGCGGTAACAGTTTACGCTGGCGGGGCACTAGTGGAGGATGATAGGATGACTATGAAGTCAGTTGGTATATCGTGACAAATTCACCGGGAAATTGTCACTATGGTTTCCAGGAACCATGTGGATGTCAACCTGCATACCATAAATAAAATCGTATGTTACAAAATATTGAGAATAACTTTTAAATAAAACTAAATTGTCTGTCTTATCTACGGGAAACAAACACTGTCATTGTTTTCTATTACAGCACACTGTGCCTTTAATTACTTTCATGCTTTCTTTCATGTGGCATGTATGTGTTGTATTTTTGATGATGAAGAACCTAAAATATGGTCGAGTGTAGTAATGGCTGCATGGCTCATCCGTCATACTTGTGAACGAGTGCTACTTGTAGGGACTAGTCTGCTCTAATCGACGTCTACGAGTCATTTACTCATATTGTACATTTCATATTTTGACTCTAATAAATTAGTACTAATTAGTAATTTGTATTCACTCATTTTATGTTAAAAATCTAAAATAACAACATTTATTTAAAAGGCCACACGCAAGATTCTTGTTTGTTCTTCTTGTTATCACAGCATTCCGAATGAGAGGAATATTAATAAATTACTATGACTATTTAAAAATGCTTAAATATATTTGAATAAAGGATTTTCTGTTCTATAGGCTGTTTCATCGTTAACCGTAGTCAATATATGTCAGTTATGGTCACATAGACAAAATCACGGGCAGGAGCTGGTATTTTCTAAACATAGAACATTTTTTGCTGGTATTCTTTTAAAAACAAACCTATATTATTACTTGCAGGCTTCGAAACTAATCAAGATTATTTGGTCTTATTAAAAAAAATCTTCCTGATCTCTACATCAATATATAAAAGAAAAACAACTAACGCAATTGTCTATGATGTATTTGTTGCAATTTTTTTATTCGTATTGTATAAATTAGACATCGTTTGGTAGCGAATTTTGTTTTTAATTTTTTTAACCATTTAATTGGTCATCTGAAATAAAAGATCGTGACCATTTTATTCACATATATGTATGTAGGTATGTAGTTTATGTCACATAAAAAAATAAGAATTGAAAACCTCGTTCTTTTGACGTCGGTTAAGACTAAACATTTTTTTTGCGGAAGTCTCACATGGAGCATCTTAATTTTGTTTTATTACGATAAAATAAAACAAGTGGCGATTGGTGATTAAAAAAAAAAAATAAAAACAATGAATTATTTGTAATTTATTGCGATGACTTGGCTATGATGATATCATGAGGATAATATAGTTAGAATATTATAGGTATATTGTTTTTGATGACATCATGCTCCAAGTCTTCGGGCTATCATTCCACCAGATTTCATTCATATCGACGCAGTAGTTTTGGTACTTTGAAGTGACAAATTTATACAAATATATAAAATTGAAGTTTCTGTCTGTAATATAAAATTAACAGATTTTCACGAAATTCAATGCAATATAATAATATGATATGAATGCATAAAAAATAATTCAAACGAAATTATTTATCTGTTAGTTCGTTCTTACTAGTGTGCTGATTTTATTTATTCATTTATTCTTTATCTATATAAAATAAATTTACAATTGGTGAGCTTAATGCCATATGTCATACCAGCTGACCATTGGGTAAAAACAGAAAGCGGTTTTAGAGCAGTAATCGGATAAGGCATACTATTGTTATTTACCTAACTTAGATAAATGTGTCAAAACTAATCTGCTTACATAACAATCTTATATATAAAATTCACGTGTCACAGTTTTCGTTCCCGTACTCCTCCGAAACGGCTTGACCGATTGTCATGAAATTTTGTGAGCGTATTGAGTAGGTCTGAGAATCGGCCAACATATATTTTTCATCCCCCTAAATGTTAGGGATAGTCCACCCCTAATTTTTTTTTTATTTTAAGGCAAAACGTTTGCCGGGACAGCTAGTAATGATATAAATAAATACTTTGTATAATAGATAATTTTATGTTGTAATTTATGTAAAATATTGTACGACGCCATTTTATTTAAGAAAATAATCGTCTTTAGATTTTCTCAAACCTTAGGTCTTTTAAAAAAAGAACAAAGAACAACCGTAACCAAAAATTGTCTCCGGTGCTGTGCACAGCACTAATGTACCGTATGAAATATAAACAATACTATTTGGTGTTCTTTTTAAAAGAAAAAATATTTACTTTTGTGTCACCGTCTTGCATCTATTTATTATTCCCGTCATAATCAACGTTTTTTCTACGAGATGCGTCTGCGCAGCGCCCGAGTGCAATGCCCATAGTGTTTCGGGTACCGACCGGTCGTTGACCCGGGTGCATGTGATTTTTTTATGATTACTCTCTAGTTTGGGACTCGTTCGTAGTGAGTGTTGACCTTCATTTTTTTTATCGTGTCATTACCCGAATGCGCTTAGAGGTTAATGACTTTTAGTGCATAGTATTTTTTTGTAATCTAATGTTGATAAATATTAATATGCATGTGAAAGTGAGTTTGTTTGTCACCAATGAAACGGAACTCCAACAGTATTTTTTATTATGGACAATTATAACAGCATCATCTAGTGCCAATATAAGCAAAACTTGTTTTATGGCTATAGATTACTCATAGAAATACATAATTACGGTTCATCTTGTAAATACATAATATCCAAAAAACATCCAAACTAATAGAATAGAATAGAAAATCATTTATTCAAATAAACTTAATTTAAGCACTTTTGAATAGTCAACATTTTTTTCAAATCTACCGCTTATTCGGAAAGCTGTCTCATCACAAGAAGAATAAGCAAGAAACTTGTGTGTTGCACTTTTAAACAATCCTTGTAAGTTCACATTTTACAAGTCGAAACGTGTGAATACAAACTACCAACCAGTACTAATTTATTTAGGCTCAAATACAAACAATCATACTCATGAATACAAATCGTGGCCGGAATTGAACCCATAACCATCGCAAGTGGTGTGGTAAACCGCCAGATTATGAGGTATAATGAGTCATAATTATTTATTTATTTATTTAACTTCAATGCACACAATATATAATATATAGTACAGTACATTTGGCGGACTTAACACCATGCGGCATTTTCGACCAGTCAACCATAGGTGGTGCAGAGAATAAATGTTATATAGTAAACTCACACTAGATATGTTTAATGACACAAAGTTGTCATGCAATTAAAAAAGGCGCCAGGAAACGTTGTGCTAAATATTAATAGACTTTAACTAACAACCAGTTTTGATGTATACAAATACTGGAGGCTCTGCACGGATGCGTTACAAATCTTTCTTTTCTCAGCTTATTCTATACTATAACACGAATGTATTATACATATAAACCTACATCTTGAATCGCTGTAGTTATTGCTGAAATCAGCATTTAAAAGATATATCTGATAGCGGCAGTAACTTTGTTTTATACTATGTAAAGATATATGGTTGTACTATTTGTTTGGCTGAACACACTAATCTCCAGGACTACTGGTTTGATTTTTTTGTGTTGGATCACCCATTTATAGAGTAAGACTATAGACAATATGACATCACGCTACAACCGCAGTAGGTAGGTCGCAGTGTTACAGGTCTGAAGCATCTGGTAATAATCCAAACGTAAACAAAGTAAAACTTTGTACCCCTTTTTACGAAAGATGCGCAGAGAGATGTGCATGAATGAGGTGATTAACTTATATGAGATGAGAGAGAGGTGCATTAACTTATAACCGGCAAAACAGCGTTTGTTGACAAATTGCTATTGAAAACGTAATTCAAATAAAAAAATCATTTATTCTAAAAGGAATATTAATTTTTTTACCCTAGCGTCCAGTTTACTATACAGATTAAATTAAGAACTTGCAAAGAACTCAACTGAACTGCTTTCTTTTTTAAAGTCATTGTATACTTATGATGTCTATGTCTAACACTAAATGAAAATCTCGTGCATGAACAACTATTGCCATGCATGTTTGACACTTTCAGCATACGCTACAAATGATGAACTTTGGCACTGTGTCTTCGACTAGATCAATTAGAAGTACATTTTCCTTGCGCCCGCCATACAAATCGCAGTTGAAAACGTAATTGATTTCAGCAAACTCTCATCTGAACCTGAACAAAAGATGAACTATCGCGCTGCGCCGTACGACTAGATCAATTAGATGCATTGACATTTCACACGTCCCACTTTCTATTATAACATTCAAAACCTCAACCGTCAAAATTATTATAATGGTGACGTAACAACGTCAGTGGGACATTAGGTTTGTGGAACGTTGCGCAAACAGATTTCGGCATTGCGCAACTAGTAAAAGTCGGCCGGTTTGCTTCCGCAGTTGTGACGTAACGACTCTTAACTGGCACACTTTTGTGGTAGACCATGAATTTTTAAGAAGCGAATAGCTTTGCCTCGTTGCATTTTGCTTTAATGGCGTGGATGCTCTGTTTTTGTGGTTTCTTATATAATTTGTACTAGTTGTGCAAATATAGTAGATATTTTTACTTGATCAATTCAAAATATCTCCATTTTCTATAGATCTGTTACAGACAGGATATCAGACAAGAAACTCAGCTCTTATTCTTATTAAATGAGCTTGTACATGATTACAACATTACATTTGCAGATGCATTTTTGTCAAAAGGAACGAAGAAAGAAAGGAAGGACCTGACCTCATGGTTAGATCAGTTAGCCCATAAATAGCCCAATAAGGCTCAACAACAACAACAATCCTTAGAATTAAAAATACCTGTCTGATTTTTTAACTTATTTCATCTAATCTAAGAAGTCTAATATTATGTTAGCGAGTCCTTCGTTAGGATACATCTAGCTAGTACATTATAAAATGACATAAGCACAGAAAGTAATGCTGTGATGACAGTTTACGTCTTTTTTATATTCTTTTTCATTTTTGTTTCAGACGGAGTCAAGATGGCGGCGCGGTACCTTCGTGTCACGTGTGCATTAACTAAAATTAATTTATAAGTGACTCCCTTTTGAAAAACTTTTAGTTAGCGAAATTATTTTGTGATTTTTACCGTTTACTTTTTATATAAATATACCAGGATAGCATAGTTTGTAAGGTAGTTTGCAAAAGATTAAAAAATGACGCAGAAACGGAACTTCTTTGTCATTTTTTGACGTTCAGGGATCGTGTTTGGTTCGTTACTTATTTTAAGAAGTGGCGTTTCTCAATTAGTTATTATTTAATCTTTTGATATTGAACTTATTCTGACAATGGCGCGTCCTAGCTACCTAGTAGTGATCTCAAATAATGTGGCGAGGATTCGCGCAAGCTCACACAATCACTGCCATTGAGCCTCGAAAATGTTCTTTAAAACAACATCGGTTAAGTCTGATTTAATTTGCGAAGGCTGCTGTAGTTTTATTTTAATTGGACAGTCATTTTTTTTATTCATTAATTGTGTCTATCTCCAGAAGTTTGGAACCGAATGTTGGTTGTGTCGTGAAATCAATTTGAAGCCAATTTTAATGCTTAAACAATCTATTTGTATATCTTCCATATAGAGTAGCCAAGAATTGACGATTAAGTAATTTTACTATACCTACATAGAATTTATACGATTTTATACGGTTTAGTAAAACAAGTATTGTAAACAACATCTAAATAAACAGCGAAATAAAAAATATATCTATTGGCATGAAATCTGCATTCACGTTGCAATTTACAAATCCCATACTTAATAATAAACAGCAGTGTCTCTTAAATTAGAAATTTTGGAAATTCGACCTTAAACCAAAAAGATTGTAGTCGATATTCTGATACATGATATAGAGAGTTAATGCAGTTTGATATTGAGTGTGCGAAATGTTGGTTCCATTATTGGTGATAGGCAGATGACGTCATGCGGTGCATCTTTGAATTAATCTTTGTCAGATTAACCATTATAGATGTCGCTAGTTTCATTGTTAAAGTAAATATTCATACTAAATATATATTTTTGGATGACTGATCATGAAAAATGAAATTTATCGTATCCATTCAATTTACAAGTTAGATATATTTTAAGATAATGTAATATATAGTTTAATGAAATAGTTTTAATGTTACTACAATGTAAATTGGTTGTAAATAATTTTGAATCTATAAATAATCGAATGTTTAATTATAAATATTGACTATCCTTGTTTAATTATTCTGTTTTAAAATTACTAAAAGTTTATTTAACAATTAAAGAAACGGTGAGACGGTTTATTATTTTGTTACAACAACTTTATGACACTATTCTACTTCCTGTTAAAAGCTATTTTCTTTCTTGTCTTCCAAAAGAATGTTATTTTTTATTGAATCATATCACTATATTTGTTTTCTTAATAATTTAATTTTTTATGTAAATATGAGCTATTTTTAACTGTACCGCTAAGCGATTAGTTCTTACTGTGGGTTAAAATTGTTGATTTCTAAAATGTTTTATTCCTAATGATGTACCTTTAAATAATTTGTTAGTTATTTCCTTGTCTACGTTACGTTATTTTTAAGCGAGGAATTATAAATTAAATATATGATGAAATCATGGTTTTGTCGAATGGGAAGTACAAGGAGTTATTTATATTAAATATATAATTGCTGTATTATTTTAAGTGCTACTTAATTGCGTGAAACGGTAGCTACAAGCACGGGTTATAGGCTGCTTATACACGGTAATATATTAAATAAAAGTATCAACACTGAGTGCCTACCCTAATGTAGGGGTTAGTAATATTTTAATAGGGTCGGCAATCATTGCAAACGGGTCTCGAAACTTATAGTTACCAGAATGGATCCTACTTTTTAATAATTAATATCTAAAAGCAGACAACTACACACCGATTACATTTGTATTATTAATAATAGAAATAATTATACAATTTATACAATAACAGATTAAGAATTTATTTAATAATTAAGTTTTTTTCTGAGAAATATATTGTAATTACATTGAAAAGTTTATTTTATTTATTCTTTCAGCTTGGTGTGTAGAAGTCTAATATTTACAAATAGTTAATACTACTCCGTCCCGTTCATACCTGCGTTTTCATAGAGAAAACTGTTTTTTACTAATAAGAGAGAAACTATATAATTATATCACTAACGTTCCCACAAAACAGATATGTATATATAGAAGTCTGTAAAATGTATTTTCGAAAACTTTTTTAGAGAGAAAGTGTACAATGTGTCTAAAAGGCTCACGTAGGCGGCCTTGATCATAAAATGTATTCTTTTTTTATTGTTGTTTTTATGTTTAAATGATTTATATATATATTTTGTTTATGTTTGGTCGTCCAGATGGTGCTAAGAGATCAAATCTTTTCCTTTTTTTCTGAGCCAAAGACTTTTATGCTCTGTTACAGTTTTACTATTTAGCCAGAGTATATACATGTATATATATTAAAACAATCATATAATTATAGAAATAATGAGTTCTAGATATTAATATATACACATTAATTGACAACTTCGGTGGTCTAGTGATTTAGCACACCGCTTCACTTATGGTTGCGGGTTCGATTCCTCGCACGTTGCAAGTATTTGTATTAATGAGTACGATTGTCTGTATAGGTCTGGGTATGTTCTATATATATTATGTATGTATTTATAAAAAATAAGTATCATCTATGTATTTATATCAGTTGTCTAATACCTATAACACAAGCTCTGATTTAACTTGGGACAAGATGGCGCTGTGTCAATTGTTCAGGGTCATTTATTAATTGATTGAGTGAAATTAAAAAATATATAAACAATATATATGTATATATATAATACTGGCTGAATAGTAATATTGTATCGAATGCTTTATATATCTGGTATATGTTGTTATGTATATTTTGCTTTATTCCCGTTATATTGTACCTATGTATGAGGCCTTGATTTTTTCTGACAATAAATTTAGTGATACGTGATAAGAGATGTGTAATATCGATGTTCTAGGTGCAATTACTTTTAATATATAAATATTTAATATAAATTATATTGTTTCTTTTGCCAAACCCAAATTAATATAAGAAATTCTCGTGTCGCAGTTACCGAAACTGCTTTACTGATTTATATGACATTTATTTGTAGGTTTAAAAATCGGCCAACATCTATTTTTCAATGATAAGGGTGACAGATTCCTAATTATATTTAACGTTAATTTGTTAATTTTTTTTATTTTTGTTTTGAGATATCATTGCAAATTGCATACAACTTCAAATCTCTCTTATCTGATGTTCTACTAGTCACTTCTATCAATATCATCATCATCATCACCATTACATAAAACAAAATCGCTGTTGCTGTCTATCCGTCCCTATGTATGCTTAAATCTTTAAAACTACGCAACGGATTTTGATGCGGTTTGTTTAAATAGATAAAGTGATTCAAGAGGAAAGTTTATATACATAACAAATTTACGCCCGTGCAAAGCCGGGGCGAGTAACTAGTCTAATAATAAAAGAGTTTTGTCATCACATTATTAGTTACTTATTTTTACTCAGCGATGCGCCCCATTTTCGCTTGGGTGCCTTATTGTAAAGATGTTTATTTTTTTAAATTAAAATATTTTTTATAAAAGAGAATTTTTAAAATTAGTTCATTCAACACTAATAATAATAAATTTCTAAACTACCCTCTTTATGAAATAAGTTTCTTATTGAAACAAATTTTTAAATATCACCCGGAACCTGAGTCATATAAATAAAGTATTAATATATTATGCATAGCTCTTGATAGCTTCTCGATGTATGGTATGCAAATGTATTTTCAGTGCCAAATTTGTTTATGACTAACATTTGATCAAATGTTCGTACAGTGGTAACCGTTAAAACATTCTCAACGAAATGTGGGCATGGCAAATAACGAGATTGAGGATTACCTGTAGTTGTAAAGTAATCGAGTATATATTGGAACAATATCTATTCAAAATAACATCAAATGGATAATTCATTAATAATAATAAATGGAATAAAAAAATGATTACAGATCCTTGAAATTCTCGGCTTGTTCTATACTATAACAAGTATGTCTAATGTAATTTAAAAGATATTTAGATTTCTTTTTTACTTGGGGTAATCTGTCATGGAGAACCGCTCGCTCCAAGGGTAAAGAGCGGGTACTGCCGGACACCTACCGGCTTCTGCTTATTGCCGGAGCTACGGGACGGGACGGGTGTGCGCGAGCATTAATTTAAAAGATATAAGCAAAGATAAAGGCAGTGCCGGCGACTTTGTTATATACTACATACTAGCTGATTCCGCAAACATTATTTTGCCATATAAATTAAACACATTATAAAAATACAAACTTGTTCATAAAATAATAATCAAATATTAGGGGAGGACAATCCTTATCGCTTAAGGGTACGAAAAATACATAGTAGCCGATTCTATATCGAATATGTATATAAAATTTCATAAAAATCGGTCAAGCCGTTTCAGAGGAGTATCGGTAACATACATTGTGACACGAGAATTTTACATACAAGAAGATAAGTATACTCGTATTGCTTATACTAAGTCTATTTGAAAAAAAAAACACTTAAAATGGACCACTAATTTCATAGGACTACCTTTTTTATCGTAATTGAAATGGGAAACATGCTATCGGTTTATCTGATGGTAAGTGGTAAACGTCGCCTGTATATTCTAAAAATATGGATTTAGAGAATAATATGATTCAGTTATTCAGTTTTCTGGCATTGATTGTAATTTATCGGTTGACAAGAAAGTCATCAAATGCTGGATCAAACATTGGCGCTGTCACCTGGCGACAGTGTTGGCAGCCGCTGTACCTGACATACCCAATTGTACCCGGTCACCTTGACTGATATTTATTTATAACACAATCTATCTTCTTTGGTCTATTTCTAGCTCAGGCTGACCAAATTTTCTATCGACTTCGCAAAAAGTTATATATTAAAAACAATCCTTTTATTTCTATAAATGATTATGGGATGGTGCACCCGCCTGCGCTGACGATTTACGCTGGCGCCAGTGGAGGATGATAAGATGAACATGAGATCAGATCATAACTGATCTGATAACTTTGCCACATGTGGCAAATTCATCTGGAACTTATCGCAATGGTTTTCAGGGAGAACCGCGTGGAGGTTAACTTGACATTGCTAGCAATAGGTTTAATAATTCACATTACAAACAACCCCATCCCCCCATCATCATCATCATCATCTGCTTCTTCCTTATCCCATTTATTTGGGGTCGGCGTAATATGTTTTTCGCTTCCATTCATCCCTGTTCGCAGTCATCGCGTTATTTACTTCCTTTCTAAACAACCCCATCCCCCCAATATGTATGTATTGGCCTTACTTCTGATGATCGAGTTCCATAAATCTCACGATGCAAACATTTGTATTCATAAGTTTGAATATTTGTATTGGTTTGGGTGTTTCCTATGTATACAGAAATACATAATTTTCCTAAATGGAAAATATAAAAATATTACATACTAACTACTCGCAACTTCATCCGCGAGAAATTTAACTTTATTTTTCTAAAATAAAAGTAGCCTAAGTTACTCCTTACATCAGCTACCTGCCAAAAAAAGTCCCGTCAAAATCGGTCCAGCCATTTCAAAGATTAGCCGGAAGAAACAGACAGACATATATAAAAAATAA